GGAAGGTGCTTGTGCCGATTGTTCCAGAAGTTCTTACAGATCTTTGGCCACGTAAGTCAAGTTCTTTGCAAGTTCCAATGGCGAAATCCAGAAAAGACAAAACGGAGCGGATCAGTCTCCGTATACAGCTGCTCAGTGTGGATGAGCGCTGGACTTGATAAAATACTTTTGCCGTAATTATGTAAGTATGTATTTGTCTGGACATGGCCTTAATTACCAAATATAGCCTGTGATTTGCTTTTGTTCTTTTTATTTTTTTGTGTGTGTGAAAAAACAAAAGTCCTGGTCAGAAAGAGGAGGAAGTGTTTTACTGAGGGCCATAAATTGGAGTCCCAAGTCCCGGTCCAAGTCTTCCAGAGCTTGCATTTACAATTCAGGGGACTTACAATTCCATATGATTCGATATAAGACATTTCTAAAAATACTTTTGGCCCTTTCTCTACCACCCCACCATATTTGAACTAAAATACAACACCATTGATGCATTTGTATTTCAGGTATTAAAGATGAATTGCTAATTAAGTCCAAATAAAAAAAAAAATATAGAAAAACTTGAGCTCACCCTTGCAGCTGCGAATCTGAAGTGTTAATAGCAACCAAGGCAAACTATATTTGACTGACAGAACAAAACTTGGCACAGATATTCCATTCACCTTCATGTGTTCGATAATTAGTCAGGAAAAAGGCTTCATTATAAGAACTCATTTATTTCATGCATTCGTGCCCCTCAGCGTTCGAGGACCAGCCATGCATGCACTTACCAAAGCACACCTTTGGTAAGTGCATGCATGGCTGGTCTGTGTAGCACCTGCAGCGAAGGCTATTGTGAAAGCAGTGCTCATGTGTTTTCTGTCAACTACATGTGGAACCTGGCGGAATATGACAAGTGTGGGAAAGGAATTGTTTTTTAAGGTTTTTCTCGTAGAATTGTCGTAGCAAGGCACAATCTAAAAAATAACTTGTGATAAGCAAAATCCTTGAAGTAGCAGCTCTGTTTGTTTTAAGACTGTAAAACCCCTCACACACACTTTATACACTTTTCTAACCACCTGAACTCATGAACTCAGATCTGCTGAAGTTACTCGATTGCGGAGATATCACACCTGTTGGTTACAGGTCTGAGTGCTGCTGCAGCTGTCAAAAGCTGTGCACACATGCAGAGGACACCGCGCTGAGGGAGATGCAGGACTGAGGACTACAGGAAGACGGCGTCGTCCTCTGAACTAATCACTGCGGTGCACACAAGCTACCAAAGTTTTCCTCTGACTCTAAATAAATAAATGGGAAAAAAGCACATAAAATTGCACACTCAAACATCTGCAAAACAGCGAGGCCACGAACGGTGAACCGTGAAACATTGAGGGACCACTGTACATGAACAATTTAGATTTGACAGAAGGACCATGCGATCTCTGTATTTGACGGCTGTTGAGTGAAGACCTCAGATAAGAGCGGTCAAAATGAGTCTGCTCCAGAGAGAGAACAGTCACGTGGAGTCAGATTCACTGCTCCTCCACATCCAGAGGAGCAGCTGAAGGGGCAGAAGAAGCATGTGATTGGGAAGTCTCACGGCTGACATGGGAAGACTTAAGAGATTCATCTGTGTTGGAGGAAGTGTCTTGGGGGATGGAAGCCTGGGAGTCCCTGCCCAGATGTCGCCCCCACGTTAACGGGGGAAATGATTGTATGACGTTTGCGATATAGGTGTGTTGAAACAAGATTCTGTAAGCCCATTTTCTCATATAATATATAATCACAGCTGGATCAGATTCTTTCAGGCTGACCAAACACACCGGTCCCTGTCCACATTCAGGGCTCGTCTCATGTGTGACATCTCCCTCACGCTGCTCCCGGGACGACACCTCTCCATCAGGGGGCAGGTCTCACTCAGCACCCCGGACACATCCACAGCCAGCTCCCTGCTCTCCCACCACAAGAGGAGAGGGTTAACTGGGCTGTGTGAAGTGTGTGAAAAGAGGATGATCCCCTGAGCACACACACACACACACACACACACACACACACACAGCCCGGGACCTGACCCTGCAGAACCCCAGCTGGTATGTCACATGCTCCTGGTGCTTGTGCAGCGCCCTCTCTCACATGGGATACAGAGCACAGACTGTCAAATCAAGTCATATTTCACTTCAAGTAATGTCAGTGTTGAAATCAATCTACAGTGGTCCCTCACTATGACGCGGTTCCTCTTTCACAACCTTGCTGTTTCGCAAATTGTGTATTTACCGTGAAGTGATCGTATAACCGCTAGTATAACATGACAGTTAGATTTATTTTGGCTCGTTTGCACCGCCTAGTTCGGTCTTCCGGTGTCCTAGCACGGTGTCCTCTACAGTTGTATTTTATGCACGGCTTTTGAGAGCTGCAGCAGCGCCTACAACCATTAGGTTTGATATATCTGCGGCCGTGAGTTCAGGTAGTTAGAAAAGTGCATAAAGTGTGTGGTGAGAATATTTACAGCCTTAAAACATACAGCTACTACGTCAAGAATTTCGCTGTAGCAGGTTATTTTTAGAATGTAACCCCCTCAAAAAGCAAAGTATAAAACAAGTTCAACAACTTCCTTTTTTTGTCCCGCTGTTTGGCTTTGGGCGGTTGTCACATAAGGATTAGTATGCACTGCTTTTCCCATTATAAGTTGCCATTGTACTTGTAAGAAAGTATGTTTGCAAAACTATTGATATTCAAGTTTATGTTGCTTTACGGATGAAAAGCTTGTAAATGTTCATTGTAATGTGATTAAAACAAAAGTATTGCTTATACATTACTATTGCCATTTTTTCAGGTGAAATTATATCATTTGCGATTGCATGGCTGTGTTTGTAGCTGGTAATATTCAAATTTGGGGGAAAAAACCCCTCTAAAACCATGTCTAAGTCAGCTCTGGTTTTAGCATAAGGAGTTACAGGTAGAAAGCATGGTTTGCCCTCCATCATGCATTTTCTACTTTGAACATTACTTTTCTAAAACTTTATCATTTTTAACGGACAAAAAGAATCCATAATATTACTTAATACCCGCTGCTTAATTTTTACACTGATATGCGCCCACTGATTTTTGCTACAGCATATAGACAAAGAGGAACGATGGAGACGATTGACAGTGGTTTCTGACGTACACTACATACAGTAGACTCGGTACATATGTAGGCTCCTCTGCAGGTTACATAAACACAGTGCAAACAGGAAACGCTTCTGTCAGCCGTCACACACACCTCCTCATACGTGCTCAGGCCTGTGCTAGTCTCACTGTCTCACACACACACACACACACACAATTCTAATAATGCCATTTAGTAATTAAGTAAGTAATCTTTAGAGTAGAGTAGATCTATAGTGGTACACTGACATCATACTATTACAGGACTGAGACTGGAGATTTTAAACAGAAGGGGCGGGGTTTAGGCTATATCCACACAAAGACAAAACGCTTATAATTTCAGAAACTTTTTCTGTAAACACGGAGTTAGCTCAGTAAATGTGTGCGTCCATATGAATCTAGTCAATACGCCTGAAAACGCTGTGAAACTATGCCAGACCTGTTGGTGGCGCTGTGACGCAATGACGGGATCAAGCCCAAACTTCCGTGACGGGAACTGGGCATGCGCGGAATTTTGTAAACAGACAACATGGCGAGTGGGCGAGCTGGTACTACATTAGTATGGACGGACGATGAGGTTGAACTGTTGCTTCGGGTCACACTGGATTACAAAACCAACAAGCTACATTGTTGTTGTCATTATTTTCTGAGTGCGGCGCATGCGTGCTTTAACAAGAGGCGGGGCGATGACGCAAGCGTCTTAGATACATTGTGGAGAGGCAGTAACCACGGAGCGGCATATACGGAGTTTTGAAATCTTTCCACTCTGGGACCTACTTTCAAAAATGTTCGTTTACACCCCCCCAAAACGCCGGCCTCGTATGGACGATACACTGGATTGATAAAGTATTTTTGCGTTTAGGCCTGAGCTTGACTTCGTGTGGACAGGGCCTTAATGTTGGTGCCTGAAGTTCCTCATATCAGTGTGGATGGATCGAAAAACAAATCTAGGTCAGTTTTTGATGAGATACAATGTTGTAACAGGGTAAAGAGCTCGGGGGAAAAAAAAAAAAGATTTTGCATACTATGTCTCCTTTAAGTCTGTGTTATTGAACCGTACGGCAGCCCGGAGCCACGTGCAGTCCTTCACAGTGCGTCTCCCATCCGCCTCGTGCCCGAGCACAACCAGCCTGGTGATTTATTGATCTGAAGCTCCTCTTATCTCATCGCACCGCTCATTTGTCACGGTCGTCCTGACTGCATCCGCTAATTAATAAACGCACCAATTACAGCGGCCAAATGGACTTCTGCCACCGTAAACGCTCTGCTGTTTAAGAGCTGTCCAGACTGAGACCTGATGAGGATGCTCGTCTGTTTGATCCGACTTTAAAGTCCTTCTGCTGACACTGTTGTCGGCCGAAATGTGTCCATGACTTTCGAATAAGGATGAAAGAGTTTGGCGTGATTCAATTCAATTCAATGTGTTTTTGTATAGCCCTAAATCACAACAGTAGTTATCTGAGGGGACTTTACAAAGCTGTCGATTTGCCAACACAGACCAGAGAATTAAACAGTTTAAACTCAGGAAATGCAATGACAAAAAACACAAACACATTGGTCCATAAGGGCAGATGACTAATGTCTATAAATATTAATGTCCATAAATGGGGCCTAAAATAGACCTCTGAAGTGATGCGTACAGCAGGCGGTCCATATTCTATCATTTCAAAGTTGTAACAGTCAATATGAATAGACTCACAATGATAAAAACATTCAAAGTCAGACATGTTTGTAAGTAGCATCACATTAGGAAACAAAGGCCAGTAAAAGCAGAGAGCGACGCGATCTAAATCAGCCGCACACGTGTGGCCCTGAGCGTGTCGACTCAAACATGCAAAACATGTAGAAAACAGATTCACATTAAACAGGAGCTGACAGGATGAATGTATGAGTGGAGGGAATTTCAATTAAAGCTCAGAGGAGGCACAGGGGGATGGGAGGTGGTGGGGGAGACGGGGAGAGTGGGGAGGAGGTGGTTGGGGGGGGGGGGGGGGGGGGGGGGGGGGGGGGGGGGGGGGGGGGGGGGGGGGGGGGGGGGGGGGGGGGGGGGGGGGGGGGGGGGGGGGGGGGGGGGGGGGGGGGGGGGGGGGGGGGGGGGGGGGGGGGGGGGGGGGGGGGGGGGGGGGGGGGGGGGGGGGGGGGGGGGGGGGGGGGGGGGGGGGGGGGGGGGGGGGGGGGGGGGGGGGGGGGGGGGGGGGGGGGGGGGGGGGGGGGGGGGGGGGGGGGGGGGGGGGGGGGGGGGGGGGGGGGGGGGGGGGGGGGGGGGGGGGGGGGGGGGGGGGGGGGGGGGGGGGGGGGGGGGGGGGGGGGGGGGGGGGGGGGGGGGGGGGGGGGGGGGGGGGGGGGGGGGGGGGGGGGGGGGGGGGGGGGGGGGGGGGGGGGGGGGGGGGGGGGGGGGGGGGGGGGGGGGGGGGGGGGGGGGGGGGGGGGGGGGGGGGGGGGGGGGGGGGGGGGGGGGGGGGGGGGGGGGGGGGGGGGGGGGGGGGGGGGGGGGGGGGGGGGGGGGGGGGGGGGGGGGGGGGGGGGGGGGGGGGGGGGGGGGGGGGGGGGGGGGGGGGGGGGGGGGGGGGGGGGGGGGGGGGGGGGGGGGGGGGGGGGGGGGGGGGGGGGGGGGGGGGGGGGGGGGGGGGGGGGGGGGGGGGGGGGGGGGGGGGGGGGGGGGGGGGGGGGGGGGGGGGGGGGGGGGGGGGGGGGGGGGGGGGGGGGGGGGGGGGGGGGGGGGGGGGGGGGGGGGGGGGGGGGGGGGGGGGGGGGGGGGGGGGGGGGGGGGGGGGGGGGGGGGGGGGGGGGGGGGGGGGGGGGGGGGGGGGGGGGGGGGGGGGGGGGGGGGGGGGGGGGGGGGGGGGGGGGGGGGGGGGGGGGGGGGGGGGGGGGGGGGGGGGGGGGGGGGGGGGGGGGGGGGGGGGGGGGGGGGGGGGGGGGGGGGGGGGGGGGGGGGGGGGGGGGGGGGGGGGGGGGGGGGGGGGGGGGGGGGGGGGGGGGGGGGGGGGGGGGGGGGGGGGGGGGGGGGGGGGGGGGGGGGGGGGGGGGGGGGGGGGGGGGGGGGGGGGGGGGGGGGGGGGGGGGGGGGGGGGGGGGGGGGGGGGGGGGGGGGGGGGGGGGGGGGGGGGGGGGGGGGGGGGGGGGGGGGGGGGGGGGGGGGGGGGGGGGGGGGGGGGGGGGGGGGGGGGGGGGGGGGGGGGGGGGGGGGGGGGGGGGGGGGGGGGGGGGGGGGGGGGGGGGGGGGGGGGGGGGGGGGGGGGGGGGGGGGGGGGGGGGGGGGGGGGGGGGGGGGGGGGGGGGGGGGGGGGGGGGGGGGGGGGGGGGGGGGGGGGGGGGGGGGGGGGGGGGGGGGGGGGGGGGGGGGGGGGGGGGGGGGGGGGGGGGGGGGGGGGGGGGGGGGGGGGGGGGGGGGGGGGGGGGGGGGGGGGGGGGGGGGGGGGGGGGGGGGGGGGGGGGGGGGGGGGGGGGGGGGGGGGGGGGGGGGGGGGGGGGGGGGGGGGGGGGGGGGGGGGGGGGGGGGGGGGGGGGGGGGGGGGGGGGGGGGGGGGGGGGGGGGGGGGGGGGGGGGGGGGGGGGGGGGGGGGGGGGGGGGGGGGGGGGGGGGGGGGGGGGGGGGGGGGGGGGGGGGGGGGGGGGGGGGGGGGGGGGGGGGGGGGGGGGGGGGGGGGGGGGGGGGGGGGGGGGGGGGGGGGGGGGGGGGGGGGGGGGGGGGGGGGGGGGGGGGGGGGGGGGGGGGGGGGGGGGGGGGGGGGGGGGGGGGGGGGGGGGGGGGGGGGGGGGGGGGGGGGGGGGGGGGGGGGGGGGGGGGGGGGGGGGGGGGGGGGGGGGGGGGGGGGGGGGGGGGGGGGGGGGGGGGGGGGGGGGGGGGGGGGGGGGGGGGGGGGGGGGGGGGGGGGGGGGGGGGGGGGGGGGGGGGGGGGGGGGGGGGGGGGGGGGGGGGGGGGGGGGGGGGGGGGGGGGGGGGGGGGGGGGGGGGGGGGGGGGGGGGGGGGGGGGGGGGGGGGGGGGGGGGGGGGGGGGGGGGGGGGGGGGGGGGGGGGGGGGGGGGGGGGGGGGGGGGGGGGGGGGGGGGGGGGGGGGGGGGGGGGGGGGGGGGGGGGGGGGGGGGGGGGGGGGGGGGGGGGGGGGGGGGGGGGGGGGGGGGGGGGGGGGGGGGGGGGGGGGGGGGGGGGGGGGGGGGGGGGGGGGGGGGGGGGGGGGGGGGGGGGGGGGGGGGGGGGGGGGGGGGGGGGGGGGGGGGGGGGGGGGGGGGGGGGGGGGGGGGGGGGGGGGGGGGGGGGGGGGGGGGGGGGGGGGGGGGGGGGGGGGGGGGGGGGGGGGGGGGGGGGGGGGGGGGGGGGGGGGGGGGGGGGGGGGGGGGGGGGGGGGGGGGGGGGGGGGGGGGGGGGGGGGGGGGGGGGGGGGGGGGGGGGGGGGGGGGGGGGGGGGGGGGGGGGGGGGGGGGGGGGGGGGGGGGGGGGGGGGGGGGGGGGGGGGGGGGGGGGGGGGGGGGGGGGGGGGGGGGGGGGGGGGGGGGGGGGGGGGGGGGGGGGGGGGGGGGGGGGGGGGGGGGGGGGGGGGGGGGGGGGGGGGGGGGGGGGGGGGGGGGGGGGGGGGGGGGGGGGGGGGGGGGGGGGGGGGGGGGGGGGGGGGGGGGGGGGGGGGGGGGGGGGGGGGGGGGGGGGGGGGGGGGGGGGGGGGGGGGGGGGGGGGGGGGGGGGGGGGGGGGGGGGGGGGGGGGGGGGGGGGGGGGGGGGGGGGGGGGGGGGGGGGGGGGGGGGGGGGGGGGGGGGGGGGGGGGGGGGGGGGGGGGGGGGGGGGGGGGGGGGGGGGGGGGGGGGGGGGGGGGGGGGGGGGGGGGGGGGGGGGGGGGGGGGGGGGGGGGGGGGGGGGGGGGGGGGGGGGGGGGGGGGGGGGGGGGGGGGGGGGGGGGGGGGGGGGGGGGGGGGGGGGGGGGGGGGGGGGGGGGGGGGGGGGGGGGGGGGGGGGGGGGGGGGGGGGGGGGGGGGGGGGGGGGGGGGGGGGGGGGGGGGGGGGGGGGGGGGGGGGGGGGGGGGGGGGGGGGGGGGGGGGGGGGGGGGGGGGGGGGGGGGGGGGGGGGGGGGGGGGGGGGGGGGGGGGGGGGGGGGGGGGGGGGGGGGGGGGGGGGGGGGGGGGGGGGGGGGGGGGGGGGGGGGGGGGGGGGGGGGGGGGGGGGGGGGGGGGGGGGGGGGGGGGGGGGGGGGGGGGGGGGGGGGGGGGGGGGGGGGGGGGGGGGGGGGGGGGGGGGGGGGGGGGGGGGGGGGGGGGGGGGGGGGGGGGGGGGGGGGGGGGGGGGGGGGGGGGGGGGGGGGGGGGGGGGGGGGGGGGGGGGGGGGGGGGGGGGGGGGGGGGGGGGGGGGGGGGGGGGGGGGGGGGGGGGGGGGGGGGGGGGGGGGGGGGGGGGGGGGGGGGGGGGGGGGGGGGGGGGGGGGGGGGGGGGGGGGGGGGGGGGGGGGGGGGGGGGGGGGGGGGGGGGGGGGGGGGGGGGGGGGGGGGGGGGGGGGGGGGGGGGGGGGGGGGGGGGGGGGGGGGGGGGGGGGGGGGGGGGGGGGGGGGGGGGGGGGGGGGGGGGGGGGGGGGGGGGGGGGGGGGGGGGGGGGGGGGGGGGGGGGGGGGGGGGGGGGGGGGGGGGGGGGGGGGGGGGGGGGGGGGGGGGGGGGGGGGGGGGGGGGGGGGGGGGGGGGGGGGGGGGGGGGGGGGGGGGGGGGGGGGGGGGGGGGGGGGGGGGGGGGGGGGGGGGGGGGGGGGGGGGGGGGGGGGGGGGGGGGGGGGGGGGGGGGGGGGGGGGGGGGGGGGGGGGGGGGGGGGGGGGGGGGGGGGGGGGGGGGGGGGGGGGGGGGGGGGGGGGGGGGGGGGGGGGGGGGGGGGGGGGGGGGGGGGGGGGGGGGGGGGGGGGGGGGGGGGGGGGGGGGGGGGGGGGGGGGGGGGGGGGGGGGGGGGGGGGGGGGGGGGGGGGGGGGGGGGGGGGGGGGGGGGGGGGGGGGGGGGGGGGGGGGGGGGGGGGGGGGGGGGGGGGGGGGGGGGGGGGGGGGGGGGGGGGGGGGGGGGGGGGGGGGGGGGGGGGGGGGGGGGGGGGGGGGGGGGGGGGGGGGGGGGGGGGGGGGGGGGGGGGGGGGGGGGGGGGGGGGGGGGGGGGGGGGGGGGGGGGGGGGGGGGGGGGGGGGGGGGGGGGGGGGGGGGGGGGGGGGGGGGGGGGGGGGGGGGGGGGGGGGGGGGGGGGGGGGGGGGGGGGGGGGGGGGGGGGGGGGGGGGGGGGGGGGGGGGGGGGGGGGGGGGGGGGGGGGGGGGGGGGGGGGGGGGGGGGGGGGGGGGGGGGGGGGGGGGGGGGGGGGGGGGGGGGGGGGGGGGGGGGGGGGGGGGGGGGGGGGGGGGGGGGGGGGGGGGGGGGGGGGGGGGGGGGGGGGGGGGGGGGGGGGGGGGGGGGGGGGGGGGGGGGGGGGGGGGGGGGGGGGGGGGGGGGGGGGGGGGGGGGGGGGGGGGGGGGGGGGGGGGGGGGGGGGGGGGGGGGGGGGGGGGGGGGGGGGGGGGGGGGGGGGGGGGGGGGGGGGGGGGGGGGGGGGGGGGGGGGGGGGGGGGGGGGGGGGGGGGGGGGGGGGGGGGGGGGGGGGGGGGGGGGGGGGGGGGGGGGGGGGGGGGGGGGGGGGGGGGGGGGGGGGGGGGGGGGGGGGGGGGGGGGGGGGGGGGGGGGGGGGGGGGGGGGGGGGGGGGGGGGGGGGGGGGGGGGGGGGGGGGGGGGGGGGGGGGGGGGGGGGGGGGGGGGGGGGGGGGGGGGGGGGGGGGGGGGGGGGGGGGGGGGGGGGGGGGGGGGGGGGGGGGGGGGGGGGGGGGGGGGGGGGGGGGGGGGGGGGGGGGGGGGGGGGGGGGGGGGGGGGGGGGGGGGGGGGGGGGGGGGGGGGGGGGGGGGGGGGGGGGGGGGGGGGGGGGGGGGGGGGGGGGGGGGGGGGGGGGGGGGGGGGGGGGGGGGGGGGGGGGGGGGGGGGGGGGGGGGGGGGGGGGGGGGGGGGGGGGGGGGGGGGGGGGGGGGGGGGGGGGGGGGGGGGGGGGGGGGGGGGGGGGGGGGGGGGGGGGGGGGGGGGGGGGGGGGGGGGGGGGGGGGGGGGGGGGGGGGGGGGGGGGGGGGGGGGGGGGGGGGGGGGGGGGGGGGGGGGGGGGGGGGGGGGGGGGGGGGGGGGGGGGGGGGGGGGGGGGGGGGGGGGGGGGGGGGGGGGGGGGGGGGGGGGGGGGGGGGGGGGGGGGGGGGGGGGGGGGGGGGGGGGGGGGGGGGGGGGGGGGGGGGGGGGGGGGGGGGGGGGGGGGGGGGGGGGGGGGGGGGGGGGGGGGGGGGGGGGGGGGGGGGGGGGGGGGGGGGGGGGGGGGGGGGGGGGGGGGGGGGGGGGGGGGGGGGGGGGGGGGGGGGGGGGGGGGGGGGGGGGGGGGGGGGGGGGGGGGGGGGGGGGGGGGGGGGGGGGGGGGGGGGGGGGGGGGGGGGGGGGGGGGGGGGGGGGGGGGGGGGGGGGGGGGGGGGGGGGGGGGGGGGGGGGGGGGGGGGGGGGGGGGGGGGGGGGGGGGGGGGGGGGGGGGGGGGGGGGGGGGGGGGGGGGGGGGGGGGGGGGGGGGGGGGGGGGGGGGGGGGGGGGGGGGGGGGGGGGGGGGGGGGGGGGGGGGGGGGGGGGGGGGGGGGGGGGGGGGGGGGGGGGGGGGGGGGGGGGGGGGGGGGGGGGGGGGGGGGGGGGGGGGGGGGGGGGGGGGGGGGGGGGGGGGGGGGGGGGGGGGGGGGGGGGGGGGGGGGGGGGGGGGGGGGGGGGGGGGGGGGGGGGGGGGGGGGGGGGGGGGGGGGGGGGGGGGGGGGGGGGGGGGGGGGGGGGGGGGGGGGGGGGGGGGGGGGGGGGGGGGGGGGGGGGGGGGGGGGGGGGGGGGGGGGGGGGGGGGGGGGGGGGGGGGGGGGGGGGGGGGGGGGGGGGGGGGGGGGGGGGGGGGGGGGGGGGGGGGGGGGGGGGGGGGGGGGGGGGGGGGGGGGGGGGGGGGGGGGGGGGGAGCTGAACGCCCAGAAGACAGTGGAAATGAAGGCAAAACACAGCCCCCCCTTAACACCATCACATCGTCACCCAGGACCTCAAGTGGGAGCCCCCAGACATTTTTTTTTTACACGTTTATTGCAGTAATTTTTGTTAATATTTTTCACGAGGAGTTAGTGGACATGTGTGCCTTTTAATATGAGCGGCCTTTGTGGGAATGGTTATATTCAAAGTATTAGAGTAAAATTAGTTTGTAAAACACCTGCGACGCAGCGACACGAAGCAGGAGCCGCAGTTCTGAGCGGAGCCAGAGCAGAGCCAGAGGTCTCCAGAGATCAGAGAAGTATTTGGTACTGGCTCACTCAGATTCAGAGGAGGAAGACACGCAGTGAAGCAGATACAGACATTCTTAGTGACAGGAGTCCGCGCCACAATAGTCCACAGTCACCCACAGTTTGCGTCCTCCGTGTGGCCCCGTGGTAAAGAGGCCCGGCTTTTCGGAGTCAGCGGTAAAGCGGTCCGCACATTAAAAGCGGATAGCGCGCTTTATGCTGTTACTCACGGTAACATTGGAAAGAGAAGCCGCGGGGATGAGCCGCCACAATGCACTTTTTAACATAAAGCGGCCACCCGCTTTTAATGTGCGGACCTCTTTACAGCGGTGTGTGGCCGCAGTGGAAACATTCTGCGAACGCGAGGCAGGGGACGTGGTGAAGGGAACAGGGGGGTCATAACACCGGGCATGTGGGTGAATGCAGCGGGGATAAAAACAACCGCGGGGAACGCGGGAGACGTGGCAGAAGCCGCGGAAGAAAACACACAGCTAATCTGCCTTTACGGACGGAGATGATGATGATGAAGGCAGAGAGGAAGAAAATCCATAAAAGTGGATCAGAAATGTTGAAGAGCCTGTTGTTTATTGTTGAGACAATCTGACAAGTTCTGAGTCCATTCATTTAATCGTTATGTTTGATGAATTCTGGAGCCTCATTTCCACTGAGACAAACAGTATGCCACCAGGTCTTTTGAAAGGGTAATATTGAAACCAAACTGCAGATTTCATGACTGGTAAACTATAAGCAGTGCCATCTTGATCATTGAAGGTCTAATACATGATACAATTCCCATATGGCTGCTGACCAGTGCTAAAATATTCTATTTACATTGGATCTGTGAATTCATTCCTATCCCACATTGTGTTTTCATACTAAAGGTATTTCACGTTGACTGTTGACAGTATTCCCTGATCTCAAAATACACTCTCAAACTACAGCTTTTTGAAATCTATATACAATAAACATTTTCCAAAATGGCCACCACCTTGATGACGTCACAGTATGCAAATTAGATTAACAATCAACATCCATCCCAAAGTTTGGTTCATACTGAAGATATTTCTCATTTACAATATGCCTTCATCTCAAACTACTTTAAAGTTATAGCCTTTTGAAATCTTGAAATCGAAATTGTAAATTTTATTGAAAGAAATGGGCTTAGTGCTGTGTGAAAATCCCTCGTCAATGGCCTGGGCTCTGCACCGTGCTCCTCTTTGCTGTCGTCGTTGCAACATGTCCAGAAGTTCAACTTTTCAGCACTAACCATGTTGTGGGTTTAGTCCATGGTTTTGTCAAGGAGAAAATTAGCATACAGCACTTACAGTCACACTGCTAGCTCTCAGACAAAGATTTACATTTGTCAGTGTGAATGCTGTGATACAGGAAACACTGCACAGAGATTACCCCTTAGCCAATCAGGACGCAGAACACAGTACGCTGGTTCTTCCTTAGCCAATCAGGATGAACATTGCAAGTTCATATACAGTGAAAATCATGCTACAAATAAATCTGCAAGACCGCGAAAAGAGAACCTCTATTCAGCTGAGGAGACTCCGATTCAGAATAAATAATAACACATTTTTCCTGTATGGAAGTGTCTGATTTGGTTTTTGTATGTAATTTTTTTTACTATCATGTTTTAGATTATAGATTAGACAGTGAGCCAGATCAGATATATCCCAATGAAAAAAATGTTTTTGCACTTTATGATGTGAGAATTGTATACATGCATGTGTAAGAAAATTGAGGGGGGGATATCCCCCCTTGGGCCATGGCTAGGGGGGGACTGATCCCCCCCACCCCCCCCCCCTCTGGAGGAAACCCTGTAAGTCATTTTACTGCTCTTTATAAAGCCACTTTACTGCCGTCACCTTACTGCACTGCTTGATGTATATTGTGTGCACCGAGTGCACTTGTTTATAGTAATATTTGTAATCATTTTACTTTTTAATCTTTTTATATTTTTAGAATACTGTTAAACTCAAGAAATTTTATTTTTAATTTTTATTATTACTTGTTTGCACCAAGAGCCAAAGCCATTTCCTATTCTGTGACTTACCTGTTACTTACATGGCATTAACAATGATTCTGATTCTGAAATAAAGTGTTGTTTTTTTCTTCAACTCAATTGATAAAGTCGTAAAATAACACAGCGTTTTCTTGTTTCCATTCAGTTCATTAAAGAGATTGAGGAGATGGGGGGGATGGCCCAAGCTGTGGCAGAGGGCATTCCCAAACTGCGCATTGAGGAGTGCGCTGCTCGCAGACAGGCGCGCATAGACTCAGGTAAGACAAAAAAAAGACAAGTACTTGCTAGAAGGCCCATCTCCGTAAAAAAACAAACAAAAAAACTCTTGTCCACGTGTTCACCTGTTTTATTTCAGCCCTCTTCTGTCTTTCACCTCTTCTCTGCTACCTTCAGAGACATTACTTTGCTTTTGCAGCACTTCCATTTTGTCCGAAATCACAAAAAACTAGCTTTATTTGTTTCATGAAAATGCATAATTATACAAGTTTCAAATCATTCAAACAAATCATTCAATCATTTCCATGATCAGAAAGGAGCAGATAGAAGAATATTATTCTTATATAATTCTGCCCCCTCTTTTACAAAACAAAATTATATGGTTTTGCTGCTGATTCCTCTGCCTTCTTTATAAACACATATAAGCACATACAATATATATATATATACATACATACATACATACATACACACATACATATATACACATACATACATATACATACCCGCACATACATTTCATAATAAACATAACACGTAATTAAACATCACTTTTGTAGATTTGGATTTGTTTCCTCTTGTAAGTCTGTTTGAATTCTAAAATGGTTTTACAACTTTGTAAGTCTTTTTCTTGAGAATTCCACAATTTTACTCCAACAACAGATAAACTCATCTGTTTTAAAGTTGTTGGCTCTTTTCTGTAATAGAACTAAAGGCTGTATGTTGGTGCTGTAAGTATTACCCCATATTTCTACACAGTAATTAAAATAAGGAAGTACCATTGAGCAATATAACATTCTCAAAGTGTTACATGGTAACAAATATTTTGATTTATTCAATATAAATAAACTTTTAGATACCTTATTTTTTACATGCATTATATGTGATTTCCAAGTTAGTTTGTCATCCAAGATCACTCCAAGAAATCTAATTTCCGACACTTTCTCAATATTTACATCATTAATAGATATACTAACTTCCGGTTTTATTTTATTGCCAAATATCATAAACTTTGTTTTTGTCAAATTTAAGGATAATTTATTTACATTAAACCACAAATTTAGTTTAACTAATTCCAGTTTAACCTCCTCAGCTAAACATTTTAAATCATCTCCTGAGCAAAAGAAGTTTGTATCATCTGCAAATAATACATGCTGAAAAATGTTTGAGACCTCACAGATATCGTTTATATATAAAATAAATAATTTGGGTCCTAAAATTGAGCCTTGTGGAAGTCCACATTTAATATTCAAGCTCTGTGACCTGTGGCCATCAAACTGAACATACTGTTGTCTCTGATGTAAGTAACTGCTTAGCCAATCCAGCACCACTCCCCTCACTCCATAGGTGTAAAGTTTAGAGATGAGAAGTGAGTGGTCTATTGTGTCGAAAGCCTTCTTTAAGTCAATGAAAATTCCGATTGTGTATTTCTTTTTGTCAATTGCTGTTGATATGTGTTCGACAATTTTCATTATGGCTAAGCTTGTCGCCCTATTGGACCGAAATCCATACTGACTTTCATTCAATAGTTTATTTTTCTATTGAGAGGTCTTCATAGGCAGCTGTGGAGAGCTCTAATGACCACGCTTCAGAACATTCTACATGTCCATACTCAATTCAATAAATTTTCAAAACCGACAAGATATTCGGAGCTGGCCTCTCAAAACGACTCTGCAATGGACTCTTCTTGGACCCTGAATTTAAACTGAAAAAGACCGAACTCTTTGATAGTTTGTGGCTTACATATGGGTCAGGTGATGTCACATGAGAGACAATACTTTCTAAGTGTACCAGGTTGTGTAGGCGTTTAAAGCAGAGGGTAGGATTTTGCAGGTGCTGCTTTTTCCTTTATAAAGCTGTTCTTTTGTCCATATTGCTCTCTGTGGAAGATAAACTATTTGTAGTCTAATTATAGTGTGATTCATTCCTTTTCCTGTCTATTTGTCCTATTCTTAAATGTCGGGTCTGCGGTATCAAAATGCTAAACATGCTAACATTTCCTCCTCTAATTTTTTCAATTTTCTTATGTGAAAGGATGTCGTGAAAGGATGTTCTTTACAACCGTCTCTCTGTGTTTGCTGCGTAAAATGTTTGATATTAAAATACAATCTAGGAGATTCAAAACCTCTTCTTGTGGTTGAGAATTCAATTCTGAAATAAAAAATGTAACCACATGCCTGATCGTATAATTTCTTAAACTTAAAATTATTTAGAATAATGGCTGGGGAAATGCAATTCGAAACAAATGTTAGACAGCCCTTGATATTCGAGTATTATTCTAGCATTTGATGCTAACAGAGTTAAGCTAGCGGCTTTTTGTTTAAAGTTCTTCTCCACAAATGAAGCTCGGCAGCGTCTCTGTGTCTGAGACCTTCCAGAGACTTTATAAAACAGCAGTGTGTGTTTTATAAACCCTAACCCTAACCCACTGCCATGGGTTTATTTTATTATTAAAGTACTTACGCATTAGCAAACAAGTTTGTTTACACTGTTTACACTCATGGGAGAATGACAACTCAGGCTGGAGGCATATGTTCACAAGCCCTGTGTGCCCCATTGTCAGTCCTGGTTTAGTCCTAGTTTAGTCCTGGTTTAGTCCTGGTTTAGCTCCCGTTTTGGCTGTTTTCGAGTTTTTGTCTGACCGGCATGTGTCCCCATGACCACCTTGCGGCTCTCTGATTGGTTGGGGTCATTCCTAGTATTTAGTGGTCAAAATAAAATATTTGAATATATTCAAACGTATTAAAAAAACTTCTTAGGAATACAACCCAAAGTCTAAAAACACAGATTGCAGGTGTTGTCAAGCTGCTTATGGAGTCACTTTGCAGGGAGAAGTATAGTAACCTGAGCACTATCCTCTCCTCTTCCTACTTTATCTGTCATCATCATGACTTCAGCTGTAGTCTGTTCATTGCTATTCACCCTTTTTCATTTTTGATTATTTCACATTCTAAGAGTCCATGAAATGCCAAAATTTGAAAAAAATAAAAATGAATATTATCAATTCTTTCAAGATTTTTTAAATACTAAATATGCACAGTTATGAACTTGACATTGCTGCATTGCGCACAGTCAATAACATTACTCCATGTTTACAAAAGCTAAAAGCTTCTTAAAAGGTTCTTACAGATGTCACGACCCACAAAGCCTTCTCAATCAATATCATCTTTCTTTGAGCTTCAATCAGCAATCTGATCCCGGTTTAAAAGTAATAATAGTGGTTTGGTCAAGCTTGTGTCGTCGCGGTGATATTTGAGAGGACTAGAAGTGGAATATAAAAGCATTATATAACATAGTGCTGTGTGTGGAATACAAAGGACAGGGCTGGTGCTGGAAAGGCACTGAAATTCACATAATCTTATAAAATAGGGTTTATCGGGACCACTCAAGGATGAAACCTATTCCTTCGGCCATCATCCCACCCAGATTGAAACCAAGCCGACGACGGGAGCAGCCTCTCAATACGATGTTATGGTGAGGATCACTCGCAGTATGTATGTAAGTATTTGTAGGCCTGTCCATTTATCCACAATAACTAATGGATGGAGCCATACACTTTATAATCCCAGCTAATTATTGCTTCATTTAGCTGTTTATCTGTTTCAGCTTTTGATTTTTAATTTAAACATGGTTCACAAAAATTCTGCTTCTGTTTTGTAACTGCCCCAGTGGCACAAAGTCGTTTCAATATTTATTTATTCATCTCAATTGTGGACATGACTTTACACAACTGTCACATTACAATTACATTTCAAATAATTGGAGAAATAAATGTAGGAAAAGACAATCAAGCATTGTGTGTGTGCCTGAGCTAACATCAAAGATACATGTGTCATACATGATCAGTGACGGCGAGGGAGGGAAGTGGCAGAGCAGGAACCATAACCATACCATAACCATAACCATACCATAACCATAACCATAACCATACCATAACCATACCATAACCATAACCATACCATAACCATACCATAACCATACCATAACCATAACCATAACCATACCATAACCATACCATAACCATAACCATACCATAACCATACCATAACCATACCATAACCATCCATAACCATACCATAACCATAACCATACCATAACCATACCATAACCATACCATAACCATACCATAACCATACCATAACCATAACCATACCATAACCATAACCATAACCATACCATAACCATACCATAACCATAACCATACCATAACCATACCATAACCATAACCATACCATAACCATAACCATACCATAACCATACCATAACCATACCATAACCATACCATAACCATACCATAACCATACCATAACCATACCATAACCATAACCATACCATAACCATAACCATAACCATACCATAACCATACCATAACCATAACCATACCATAACCATACCATAACCATAACCATACCATAACCTACATAACCATACCATAACCATACCATAACCATACCATGACCATGCCATAACCATACCATAACCATACCATAACCATACCATAACAATACCATAACCATACCATAACCATACCATGAACATACCATAACCATACCATAACAATACCATAACCATACCATAACCATACCATAACCATACCATAACCATACCATAACCATACCATAACCATAACCATACCATAACCATACCATAACCATACCATAACCATACCATAACCATAACCATACCATAACCATAACCATAACCATACCATAACCATACCATAACCATAACCATACCATAACCATACCATAACCATAACCATACCATAACCATAACCATACCATAACCATACCATAACCATACCATGACCATGCCATAACCATACCATAACCATACCATAACCATACCATAACAATACCATAACCATACCATAACCATACCATGAACATACCATGACCATACCATAACCAGAGAGGGCGGCACGGTGGCTGAGTGGATAGCACTCTCGCCTCTCAGCAAGAAGGTCCTGGGTTCGAATCCCGGTCGGACCAGGGCCTTTCTGAGTGGAGTTTGCATGTTCTCCCCGTGTCTGCGTAGGTTTCCTCCGGGTACTCCGGTTTCCCCTACCACTAAAAATATGTATAATAGTTCTGGCATGCGCCTCCTGTACTGGCGACCCCGCTCCCATCTCTGTGTGGAGTGAGAGACAAATGCCCAAAAATAAAAAATAATAACAATTGTAAACCGCTTTGAGACTCAGATCTGCAGTGAAAAGGCGGTATATAAATAAAGATTACTAGATTACTACTACTACTAACCATACCATGACCATACCATAACCATACCATGACCATACCATAACAATACCATAACCATACCATAACCATACCATAACCATACCATGAACATACCATGACCATAACAATACCATAACCATACCATAACCATACCATGACCATACCATAACCATAACCATACCATAACCATACCATAACCATACCATAACCATACCCATACCATAACCATACCATGACCATACCATACCCATACCATAACCATACCATGACCATACCATACCCATACCATAACCATACCATGACCATACCATAACCATACCATAACAATACCATAACCATACCATGAACATACCATGACCATACCATAACCATACCATAACCATACCATGACCATGCCATAACCATACCATAACCATACCATGACCATACCATGACCATACCATGACCATACCATAACCATACCATAACCATACCATGACCATACCATGACCATACCATAACCATGCCATAACCATACCATGACCATACCATAACCATGCCATAACCATACCATAACTATACCATGACCATAACCATACCATAACCATGCCATGACCATACCATAACCATACCATGACCATGCCATAACCATACCATAACCATACCATGACCATACCATGACCATACCATAACCATACCATGACCATACCATAACCATACCATAACCATACCATAACCATGCCATAACCATACCATGACCATACCATAACCATGCCATAACCATACCATAACCATACCATGACCATACCATGACCATAACCATACCATAACCATACCATAACCATGCCATGACCATGCCATAACCATACCATGACCATAACCATACCATAACCTAGGGCTGGGCGATAAAACGATTACGATATATATTTCGATAGACACGTGTTCGATATCAATAGAAAACAGGGTCGATAGAACTTCGATAGTTTCACTTCAGTCCGTTCGGAAAAAAAACAGGATCAAAACACAGGAAGTAAAGCCGAGTCAGAAGCGCACGGCATTCTGGGGGATGTAGGCAAAGGCTTCTCGACCTATCACAGCCGACTACAAACCGCAAAACTTTCTGGGAAAAGCATAAAAACAACCGCACCATGCGTAGCATCCATGGATCATAGATCTATTATAATAGCCCTGGATCTAAAGATCGTGTCTCAGTGCTGTGTCAATGGTTAAACACGTCCGTGCGAGGAACAGCATGTGCGGCGCGGGAGAGGCAGTGGGTACAGAGACTCCATGCATTCGGCAAAAGCAAGCGATTACCTTTTTCCGGAGCCGCCACAGGGACACAAGACACTCGAAAACAGC